AAAAAAAAAAAAAAAAAAAACTTTTAAAGTTGTATACTTTAAATATGCACAGCTTATTTTATGCCAATTATACATCAATAAACTTAAAAAATGTAAATGGCCTAAACACTTCAAATACACATTAGAGGTGATCAGCATAGGGAAAGTAAGACGTGACTTTATTTTGTGTTCCAAGATATCATTTATATATATTAAAAACACGATTATGTATTCTACATTATATGTATAATTATATACATGATTACATACTAAAATGTATATTTGTATGTATATTTATATTGCATAAATACATTTGACTTTCCAATTTGTATCTCTTTCATACGATTTCATACGTTTATAAATGTCTCCTGTTGTATGTCACATATAATTGCTTGTATGCATTTTCAGATTATGAAAATACCAAGGGGTAGTGTTTATATAGAGAATCCTAGATGTCAGCTGGGTCTCCTGGCCCCAAAAGGTGGTAGCATCGATCTGACCCCCTGTTTCTATTTCCACAGTCCAAAACCATCTCCAAAGTTTCTCAAAATTCCAGAGAGCTGAGGTTCTAGACATCCAGCCTCCCCCAAATCCTGCTCAGCCCTGGGTCTCCAGCTGTAGCTTTATCTCCACCCTGGTTACGCATTCATACATGAGACACCTCTTCCTTTCCCTCATCCTTTCCTGGCCCTGAACAAACCCCCTCCCCCTGCAGCCCCACCTCCAAGCAACTCAAATACAAGGCTGATACCCAGAACCCGAATCAGCACCACAGGGCAAACACCTTAAAATGGCCTGGTATTCCTCAGGCCGCCCAGCCTGGGACTTCCTTGTCTGCAGCCACGCCACCCCAGCCACCCCAGCGGTCCCTTTCTCCCCATCTCCCCTTCCAGTCCCCTCTCTCCTCTTTGCTCCTCTCTGTGGGATCCCTTTCTTGTCTGCCCCAAATTCTTCCCTTTTCAAAGCAGGGCAATTCTGCTGGCCCAGAACCTCCTCCCGAACTCAGATGCTCGGCAGAACAGGAGGCCCCCAGAGAGATCGCTGTGGCTGCCAACAGCTATTTTTTCTGCCTTTTGCATCTGTAGGTTTGTGACTCTACGCGTCTTTGTAGCCATGTGCATCTGCACACACACTTACACTGGGAGGAACTACCCCAAGATGCTAACCCAAAAAGCAGAGCCTGGGAATTGGCAGGCCACCCCTCTTGGGCTCCCTCTTCCCCTCCCCACGCCCAAGTTTCAGGGCCCGCAGGACTCCTGCCTCGCTCCCTCACTCTCTGAAGTGTCTTTCCTTCCTGTCCTAAACTGTTGCTCTGCCATCCCACTCTGCCCCAAAGGGCTGCCTTTTCTGAGCTAGTAGCAAGCCAGCCAGTACAAAGGCTGAATAAACAGTCGGTGGAAATTAACTTGAACATTCAGGGAGAAGAACAAAGACTTGGGATGTGAGCTGGGGAAGGAATCATAATTGCCAGAGAGAGAGGGGCGGCCCAGGCGCCCGGTTGCAAGAGACATGAGAAGCAGGGCTGTTGACAGTGGCGGAGACAGACGGGCACGATGCTGATGTGATGAGTGGAAGGGCGAGAATTCTAATGTAATGATGCTGATGGAGAGAGCATTGAGGACTCAGAGGGGAGAGGCAGGTGAGGGGTCCCTAAGGCAGCCAGCTGAGGTCACTGTGCCTGAGCGGGGGATCCCAGCTTCGCACCCCGAGAGCAGGGACTGGGTGGCAGGTGTTCTGATGGCAGCTGCTCCCTGGGGTCATAATTACAGCCAAGGAGCATCTCATGGTGGTTCCAGGGGAAAGCAGAGGGAGGACTGGCAATTGGGTCTCCAGGGTGGGGGAAATTATGGGCCCCTCTGGACCTAGAGAGACGGGGAGGCCCCCACTCTGGAAGAGCCCATAGAAGCAGACAAAGCTGGCCTGCTTGAGATTTCGTTCCTTTTTCTTTTTTTTAGATGGCGCTTCCCTCTTGTTGCCCAGGCTGGAGTGCAGTGGCGCAACCTAGCCTCATTGCAACCTCCACCTCCCAGGTTCGAGCGATTCTCCTGTCTCAGGCACCCTAGTAGCTAAGGTGACAGGCAGATGCCACAGCATCCAGCTAATTTTTGTATTTTTAGTAGAGATGGAGTTTCACCATGTCGGTCAAGGCTGGTTTCTAACTCCTGACCTCAGGTGATCTGCCCGTCCAAAGTGCTGGGATTACAGGCGTGAGCCACCGCGCCAGGCCTACAAAGCTGGCCTGCTTCAGATTTCTACAGAGAAGCATCAGCAGGTCTTGCTGTCTTCAGGCCGCCGCTAAGGGACGTAAGTAATAAAATATACACTGAGTGCAACCTGGATGCCGGCCGCTTCATGTTTAAGTTCTACGATCACCTTTTGAGGTGGCACTATTATCGACCCTAGTTTACAGAGGAGCAAACTGAGGCCCAGAGAAGTGGAGTAACTTCCCCAAGATCACACAGCTCTTAACTGGCATAGCCAACCCAGAACTCTCCAGTCATGCACATGGCCTTTGCAAGTCGGGAGGTTTCAGCCTTAGTGACACATCGATGTGATCAGAGACGTGTTCACGGCTCTAAAGGCCGGCAGGACCTGGCTTTTTCTTCATATCACTCACAAGTGTCCTGACCAGCCTAGTCTGCATCCACCAGAGGCTAAGATGGCACCACCTGTCTGAAACCTTCCACCAGTCCCGGGGTGGAAAGGAGGCTCCCCGCCGCCTGCGTGAGCCACTCACGGGGTGCTGTGCACTCATTTTCTCCTCTAACCTCATCAGACCTTACCTGACCCCGAAGTGGGGTGCTCAGAAGGAATATAAGGAAGCACCTTCCAAAGAGGCGTGAGATGCTGGAACACACAAGCCATGGACGTAGTCACGGAACTCCCTTTTGGGTATTTCATCCTGTTACCCGCGCCTCTATCTGCATCTGCTTGGAGGCAAACAGACTCCCAGTTGTTTATCCTTACTAGTAGCTGCTTGGAGGCAGATTCTACTCCCAATTGTTTATTCGTTCAACAAAATATTTTTGAGAGCAGATGATGTTCTGGGTCCTGTTTTATATGCTGGGGTTACATAATAAAAGACTAGGCCCTGCTCTGGAGGGGTCCACAGTACCAGCAGCTGAATCACAGCAGGCCAAAGGGGGGGGCGGGGCCTTGCCATTCCACACCTGGTGGGAGGCCACCGTGAGGGCTCAGAAATATTTCCTGGAGGAGGGAGCCTCAGAGTGAGCGGAGAGTGTGTTAGGGGAAGGGCAACGGGTGGAGGCGGGGAGAGGACACAGACTCCGCAGTTGAGCAGACTGGAGGCAGGGCTTGGTGAGCCAGGAGGCCCTGGTGTCCTTGGGGTTCTGGGAGTATTTCTGGATAGTATTGGAAACCTCTGTTGAGGGCTCTAAGAATGGCTGGTGCCTCTGATCCAGCCGGAAATGGGGATAAAAGAAAGATTCTAGGCCGGGCTCAGTGCCTGACACCTTTAATCTCAAGACTTTGGGAGGCTGAGGCAGGTGGATCACTTGAGGTTGGGAGTTCAAGACTAGCCTGGCCAACATGGTGAAACCCCATCTCTACCAAAAATACAAAAACTAGCCAGGCATGGTGGCACGAGCCTGTAAACCAAGCTACTCGGGAGACTGAGGCAGGAGAACTGCTTGAACCCAGGAGGTGGAGGTTGCAGTGAGCCAAGATTGTGCCACTGCACTCCAGCCTGGGCTCCAAGAGCGAGACAAGAAACAAAGAGAAAGGAAAGAAAGAAGGAAGGAAGAAAGGAAGGAAGGAAGGAAAGAAAGAAAGAAAAAGAAAAGAGAAGAAAAAGAAAAGAAAGAAAGAAAGAGAGAGAGAGAGAGAAAGAAAGAAAAGAAAGAAAGAAAAGAAAAGAAAAAGGGAGGGAGCGAGGGAGGGAGGGAAAGAAAGAAACAGAGAAGGACAGAAAGAGGAAGAAAGAAAAAAAGATTCCAGAGTGTTTCTCTCCCTGCAAGAAATGGAGGAGACTCCCCAGGACCCTTGCTGGGTATCTTGGGGCTGTTCTGCCAGGATCTAAACATGGGAACCAGCATCTTCGGGATGGAGGCCATGCCAGGCCACCTCCATACCTCCCGGGAACTGACAGGAAGGATGCTCAGGGTCTCCTTTGCTGAGTCACACCTTGTTCTATATGTTCGTGGCCTGAGGACATGCTATAAATATTCATGGCTGGAAACAGAAGGTGAGAGTAGCCGTGCTCCAGAAGAAACCACGGATGGCGGAGGGCAACCGGCCTGCTTCGGGCAACTTCGCTTCCCGCCTTTAAATGCTAGGTCAAAGCCCAAGGAAGGACTACACCTTCTAAAACCCAGTTTCCTTAATTTGTTTAACAAAAGACATCTCCATGCTCTGTGGCCTCTTAATTTTCGTAGATGTTAAAGTGCACAGAATTAAAGAATCAATGGACAATTAAGCCAACACTGGCAGGTTCTGGCCAAGAGCATATTATTTATTTATTCAGCCAGCCACACTCATTTTTAAAGCACTCACTTTCCATTTTGTTTCTGACATCAAAAATAAATCAAACTAAACTGTACACGTCATAGCTGAAAAAAATTATTTGCATGATACATTGCCCCTTTGAAGCCTCAGTAGCCACCTGCAAAAGGAATTTTTGTCAGTGTCAAAACAGCAACAACAAAAAGATACGAATTCATTCCAGCACCAGCCTTTTCTTCGGATACAGACAGAATTGAAAAAAACAGAAATAAGGTTTAATTCACTAGTGATTTTTCCATACAGTCTGAAGCTTCTTTTTGATTTCTGAGCATCCATTTTCCTGGGTCATCTAGAGAGGGCTGCAAGATTTTAGTCAATTAACAGAGTGGTAGTTTGGTGAAATCTCAACAGGCAGAGGCAAGCAGCCAGAGTGGGGACAGGAAGGGCTCCCTGCCGCACTCAGCCAGCCCCTGTGTTTCTGCTCCTGGCCCAAGACCTTGCCCCTAAATTGTGGGTCACCTAGAAGCCCCAACTTTCTTTCTATCCAGCTCATAGCATTGGATATGTCTTACCTAAAAAGGAAAATGCAAAATCGCCATCCGGTATCTTGTTCCTTAAAGGTTCCCTGATTGGGACGAGCCCTGTGGAATTGTTCCTGCCCTTGTGACCTGCACTCAGCAGCCCTCCCCAGCCTTCCCACCCTCACCCCCTCCAGCCCACCTGCCCTTGTGACCTTCACTCAGCAGCCCTCCCCAGCCTTCCCACCCTCACCTCCTCCAGCCCACCCGCCCTCACTCCCTCCAGCACATCCTCTATTTCACAGCTACCTGTTCGCTTCTAAGTTTCCCAGAGGCTGATTCTAGGACTGTGATTCTCAAACTAAGTGTACATCAGGATGGTGTGTTAAAACAGTTTTGGATTCAGGAGTTCTGGGGGAAGGTCTGAGAATGTGCATTTCTATTAAGTTCTGATAATACTGCTTGGAGAAGGGCTGTTCCGAGACAACTGGTGTTGGGGAGGAGGTGGGAGAGGACACTTCCAGTAGCTTGTGCTGTGGCGCCATCTAGTGGTCTAAGACATAGTAACAGCAATCTGTGCCGTGTGCATTGAGTAACCCTGAAAACTAGCCCTCCCCAAGCGCCTTCCCCTTTATCATCTCTACTTGTAAAGTAAGTGTTTTATAGAAGTTAAATGATCACTTTTCATACTCTGAACAACCACAGGAGAATGGGAGCCTTACAGACTGTGTCCTGCCCAAAGTCCCACAGCGGCAGAACTGAGACTGGAAGATGAGTGTTTAAAGGCTAGAAACTTTAAACTGTGCAAATAGACTTTGGTGTTTGTCCTCAGATACTTCCAGCTTAAGGCAAGACAACGATAGCATAGTGGCAGACAGCGAAACAGTCATCCAGGTTACACAATAATTAAACCCTAATTTCACCAAAAGCTTAGTCTCCAACATGTCCTGGCAGCCAAGACAAAGTACGAAACAGGATTCCACCTATTCGCAACCTAAAGCAAGGGAGCCTGCCTGTTTATGAGTCAGATCAAATGGCCCCAAGTTATAGGAGCAGTGGCATGAGTGTAGCCTGGGGCGGGGGACGGCTATTGAAAATGCAGGGTCCAGGTCCCAGCACTTTGCATTTTTAATGAGCACTGCAGGTAAACTGAGGCTAATGACCTGAACCCCCTCATTTGAGACACACTGTCTGAAAGGTTGTGACCAACTATAATGATGCTCCTCCACCCTGTGCTGTCCGCCAGGAAAGAGGCACACATGGGATCTGAGTATGTCCACTAGACACCCTTAAAAAAGCAAGTGTAGGCCAGGTGAGGTGGCTCACACCTATAATCCCAGCACTTTGGGAGGCTGAGGTGGGTGGATCACCAGGTCAAGAGGTCAAGACCATCCTGGTCAACATGGTGAAACCCCATCTCTACTAAAAATACAAAAATTAGCTGGGCATGGTGGCGCACGCCTGTAGTCCCAGCTACTTGGGAGGCTGAGGCAGAATTGCTTGAACCCAGGAGGCAGAGGTTGCAGTGAGCTGAGATCGCACCATTGCACTCCAGCCTGGGTAATAAGAGCAAAACTGTCTCAA